CATGATGATGATGATACATGATGATGATACATGATAATACATTATGATGAATACTTTGAAGATAATATGCTGTATGATACTAATTTTTATGTTATTAATATGCTGTATGATCCATATGTTGATGTTGAAAACAAACTGCGATCAAGAACATAAAGGATTATCTTTAGCATCATCCATCTGACAGCCAGTTATTGTTATTATTAGTCAATATGCTCTAACATTAAACATATATTTCATCCCAGATTTGTCTAATGTTATGCATAAAGTACATGAAACATTCATTGCTCTAGCAGCTCAGCTACACAGCATCCATGAAGCTGTCAAGGTACATTCTATTGACTATACTCATACAAAACTCAAATCAATATTTACAGGGCATGAAATCAACGCTCGCAAACTGGCAAAATGCAGGTGAAATTTTATATTTAGCTACATGTAAGTTTTGCAAGTATGAACACAGTCCAGAAATTGAAGGACTGAGAATTTTAGAACTGGCGTCAAGTAAAGCTTGTTATTCACTGCGTCTGATCACTAGTGACTTTGAAATTTTTGCTAATGAGAACAAAACTTACTAGCAAGGTTTTGCTAGTGGATTTAAAAGTTGATTTTGTGCCCTGATTTAAACAGTTATGTAATAACTGTACTGTATTAATCAAGCATAATGTGGACTAATAAATCAAATCAAAACTGTGATGCTAATGATTTGCTTTAATTTTCTCCAAGAAACTTATAAATAAAAATAATTTGAAAAGGAATCTGAATTTTGAAAGGTCTGAACTTATCCTTTTCTTGTCCTTCAACAGCTTCAAAAAGAGCATTATCTTAACTATCGCAAAGCATACTTTAAAGACTCTACTGATGTCTTCACAAGAAGAAGAATCAATGCAAGACCAAGTAAGTTGTTGTCTTGCTTACCAATACACAAACATACCATTTTCATTTTAAAAAATCTCTTTGCTCTTTGTGGATGTCCCATTTCCCAGTGCTACAACAAAGCTCTTCCTCTCTCTCTTTTCTCTCTCTCTCACTCATTCTCTTTGTATGGGTTCTATTTCATGAATTTGATTTTTCTTCTAGATGTTTCTGTACCTATTGGGCCATCTCCATTCAACAGTATTTCAAACAGTAGTAAGTGTGCTAGTTATTGTTTCATTATGTTTCAGATCTGAATGTGTTGGACAAGATTGTTTCCAATGCTTTATCACATTCAAACCTTTACATTTATTTATAAAATAATTGGGATACTACGCGCGCTATGATTGGTCGAAAACCATGTTTGATGAGAGTATCAAAACACGCTATCGTCATTTTTAATCTATCGTGCGCGCTCATTGGTCAGTTTGAATAAGATGGCACGTAGGGAGAATTTACTTAGACTTTGCTTTTTTTCGATTTTTTCACGCGTTTGTTATTTTATAAAACAAATCAAAAACAGTTTTCTGTGTTTGATACTCTGATCAAAACACTTGGGATGTTGGGATAACACTCGAGAAGCTGGAAACCACTCCGCTACGCGTCGTGGTTTCCTACGCTCCTCTCGTGTTCTTCCAACATCCCGCGTGCCTTGATCAGAGTATCAAACACGGAAAACTGTTTTTGATCTGTTAAATCAARATCAGTACTCTAAAACAACCTCTTGACCTATCCTAAAGGGAATGATTCTTTGTACAAGTTTCATCCTTATCAATGCTCCTGCTCAAGTATTCATGTTGATTAAAGAGCACATGGTTGGAAACCTTGTTGGACGAGGAAAAATTGTTCAAAATAATGAAGTTTTTAAGTTATCTATGATAAAATTGTATACTGACACAAATCCATGGGATGCAGCTTTAAGTTTGAAATACCCAGGGATTGAGATAACAGGACTTCAATGTATAAATTTTCACTAGGAAAAAAAACCTGCCTGATTTCTTATTCCATTCAAATCTCAGCCTCAAGGAACACATCAAATTCTAGTGTGAATCTACCTACAACAAGTAAGTTTGGAACCACTGGAGGAACCACCATTGGGTCAAGTTTTGGCTCTTCTTTTGGAACAGGTTTAAGTTCTGGTACATCATCATTTGGAACAGGAGGAAGTCTTGGCAGTACCTCTACAGGGTTAGGCTCAAGTCTTGGATTCAAAGGCTTTGGGACACACGCAGTTGGCACATCAACAGGATTTGGCGCAGGGACACAAGTTTCTAAACCAAACACAGGTTTTGGCTTTGGAACACCAACAAATACCAGTCTTGGGTCATCGTTTGGTACTCCTGCAACATCTGCTAGTGCATTTGGTACTAAATTTGAGCTGCAGAAGCCACCTACTGGAAATAAGAGAGGAAAAAAGAGATTTTAATGCAATATATAGTTTAGTGAAGTGAAAAATTTTTCTTGTAAGTAAAATAAAGATACCCTTGTTACATACTCTGCTGCTCTCTATGGGATTAGACTGCATTCATCATGTATGCCAGAGAAAAATTTAATGGGTAGATCTCTTTTCTTCTTCTTCTTCTTCTTYTTTTTTTGCCTCATTTTTTTCAGAAACTGAGGGGAGGGAGCCCAAAACTTTAGATATAATAAAACAATATCACCTGTCTCCCCCTCCCCTGGCATACATAGTGAATGCAGCCTTAGATTCTGTGTCCCTATGTCTCATAAATTTGTTCACTGGAGACACTACTTGCTGGATGATATAGTAACCCTCTGACACTAAATAATAATAGTCTCATTGTATGTATATATGACAACCTAGAATGATGGGAAGTTCAAAGTAATCTCAATGCTGCATTCCACAGCTTTATTTTACTCAAGTGAATCGGCTAGAATTTAAATCATACAGGATTAAATTAAAAGACAAGGCTGGTTATCAAGGACATTATGCATTATACTTTATATATACATGAAACAAATAAACATGTGAATAATTAAAAGCATGTTATTCACTGTTGTACAAAATCTACTCAGTATGCAATGAATATATATATTCTTACTTAATTTGACTGGAAATTCCATGGTGAAACAGTGGAATTTGTTAATCCCTTGAAATTAATTCTAATCTCCTTCACATCTGATTTTAGTGCTCAGCGCGCGCGACAACACTTAAACTAGATGCAAAGCGCACTGGATCAGAAGTCCCTCTGGAGTCTAACTTGGGAGTAAACCTGAGTGCACCATCAAAAAATGGGATATTTTCAACTGGATGGGAGGGATTACAAAATGAAATGAGACATTTTCCATCCCTGAAGAACCTGGAGTAAAGCCCTTGAATCAAGGGAATGACCTAACAAATTCTTTAGTCAGGGAACCCATGACCCCAGAAGAGAGGAGAGTGCATTAACGCTACAGCACCCTCGATTCCCATGCCTCTAATCTACCTCATTGAGTTCTTGCCTAAAGTAGAGCAATCTGTTTTGGGATCCCTGTGTTTATTGAAATCTCATATGTTGGGCTCCCTGTGTAAATTCCACGTGCTCCTTTAGTATTCGACAAAAAGTAATAACAAACGAGACGATCAAGAAAGAAGACCGAAAAACAACTCAAAATGAATCAAATCCTTCAAAAATATCTCATAATATTCCTATTCTCCATAAGCCATGCTAATGAGAAGATAGACAAGATAGAAGATGAACTTAGAGAAGAACAAAGATTACTACGCGAAAATCAAGCTAGATTGCAACTAGAAACTTGTGAGTAAAAACTTTATTTGAGGGCTAATATTACACGTTCAAAATGTCTTGATTTATTCATCTTATATATTTGTTTATTTTAATATTACTGAATTGAATGATTCCGAAATACTTGAGAAATAATACAATTTTGCTACTAATAGTGTTTTTCAAGTATTGATATTTCTCTAAAGACTACATGTTAGCTTAACTTCAAGAAATTTTTTTTTGTATTCCAACTATATACTTGAGTTTTTTTAAAACTTTAGTTTCATCAACCAACACCATTAACATCATTTAAAAAGCTTACGAATTGATGCAACATAGTTTCGAAGGAATTCAAAGATTAGACAAAAAATGTCTGTGATTCTTTTATTACATTTTTATGTCTGAAAATTATTTTCTGTTGTTTTCCAGATCGCAGGGGATTTAAAGTTAAAAGAGGTTATCAAGTCGCTGCTTCCAAATCCATGCAGTTGGAAGTCAAAGGATATGCAAAACAATATGAAATGACGGACAAAGTCCTGGAAAAAATGTTCATGGTAAATATTAATTTTAAAATTATTTATATTATTTATATTAGTTTTCCTTGAGTCTTGATTAATTTCTGCCATTTTTTTTTGCTGGTGCATGTTGTTAATAAAATATTAGTTAATTAATTAGTTGACAGATATTTTAATTAAATTTATAATATTACCTGCTTGACGCATATCTGTTGGTCAGTACTGAGTGCACAGTAGTACTAGTCTCTTGATGATGTAATGCAAGGTTCATAGAAAACAATGGAATTAATGTCTACCACTATATATTATGCAATTAAGCAATTATAAAATCACTCTATTATTGGTTTGTAAATTCATTTGTTCTCTGAAGATGGTTTTGCTAAATCTGTTAATTAATCTTTCGCTATCCATTTAATAAATCACTTTATTTATTGAATTGCCTTTGATCTACTTAATCATATATCCACTTGTCCATTTGTTCATTAATTCATTCAGTTTTTTACCTTTATTTGATTGCATTTTCCAGGTATTGAAAGATTCTAAGACAGCATTGATTGAAAGTGGTTATACTCCAGGAGATCCATTCCCGACAGACAAGAAAATACAAGAAGGTACAAATATCTAAAAATATCTTTATTATTAGACAATAAAAATAATTAGATGACTGTAATATTACCACTTTTATTCCAGCTTTGGCTCATGTGTTAGAAAATACAGCTTTCTTTGGAGATATTCTGCTGAGGCTACCTGATATCACCCACCAGGTTTGTTATCATCATCATGTATCATCATCATGTATCATCACCATGTATCATCATGTATCATCATGTATCATCATCATGTATCATCAGGTATCATCATCATCATGTATCATCATAATATCATCATAACGTATCATCATAATCATGTATCGTTATCATCATACATTATTATCATCATGCATTATCACTATATCATGTTTCATTATTATTGTACATTATCATTATGCATTATCACAAGCTCCATCGTGTATTATCATCATGAATACCATGATGTTTTCAAATCTGATGCTTCAATTCTTTCTTGTTTAGATTTACAGCAAGTCGAAAGAAAACCAGTTGATCATGAAGTGGTGCATCAGTATTTGTAATGCTTCAGAAGTATATGACAAAACAGGACATCAACTTCTTGATCTAGTAAGAATCTACTACGACTATAGACTTTGAATTGATCATCTTCTTATGATTTTTAATTAGTTTCTTTCATTATAGATTCAGTTTCAAATGTCATGGTGTCTCTGTTCAATATGTCATTGATAAAACATTATGCAAACGAAGCTGTGTATTTCTACTTTAGATTGCCCAGGAACTTGAATTGATACCTAAAGATGAGAACTACATCAACCCTTACAAAGAATCAACAATGCTGGAAAAAGTGAGTGCAAAAAAAACTAAGTTTATTGCTTATCACCACCACATATAGAGCAGTGGCGTAGCTCAATGGGGTCGTACTAAAAGCAATGTGACAGCACCAGCTGCTATACAGTCCATGTATGACCCCATCCATAACACAGCTTTAACTAGTTTGAATTAATTAGGGTTGGTTTGAGAGGAGGGAGGAAAAACCAGAAAAGCCATCAGAGTTAGAAAGAGAACCAATTAACTGAGCTTACATTGGAGACAGGGAATCAAACCCTGAACCACAAAGGTGAGCAGAGAGGCAAGCATTTTACTACCATACAAACTACATTTCCCCTACATTGTTTTTACAATTCTTGGATGAGAAATCAAGGCTGGTATTAGATCTCTCCCTTCATTCAAGGTTTTTTTCTGGGTTCTCTGATTTTCCTCCATCCACAAACTATATTCCCACTCAATCAGTGAGCTATCTATGCCCTGACTTTCATACTAGCTATCAATATTTGATTAATAGGAATTTGCTAAGCAGAAAGCAGAAGGAAAAGGTCACACTCCACAACAAAAGAAAAAGGAAAAGAAGAAGAAGAAAAAGAGGGGTCCAAAACTTTCTGACGAACTATAAATTAACTGGTAAAAATATTTATTGAAGGCAGGCATTTGTAATATTTTAATTACCTGCCAAAAAATTATGAAAAAAAAATGGTTTAAGAATTGCCCTCCAGGATTCATAACTGTTTTTACATCATTTTTTAAAACTCCAGCCCAACCTTCAAGAGTTCTGGTATGCTTCTTAAAATAATTTTTACAGATTGAAAAAAAAAAAAGATATTTGTATCTTAGAATGCAATAATTTATACCTGAAAAACAAAATCAATTGAAAACTGAATAAAAAATTGAATTTTTTATTTCTTAAACTCAAGTTTCTCGTATTTCGTATCTCTCTTGTTTTGTGTTGATCGGTGTCCAGTGTATGGCTGATATCCACCTAATCTTTGCCACAAAAGACCTTCAACTTGTCTGGGTGAAGTGTGATATGTACAGGTCGAGCATCAAAAGGTTCTCCATCAATATTAAACCATGAACCCTAAAATTGGAAGATACTGGAGTTATTTCACCTATCAAACATTTTCCTATATTTTCTTTGAGACTTACTTCCTCGTCTTTGGGTTCTAGTTTAAGTTCTTGTACTTCAAGGCATTTAAAGGTTTCTGAAACAAAAGGATTTACAGTAAATGAAAAATACARGTTACCATAAAAATAAATCAGTTTATCATAAAAATAAATCATGACAATTAATACTGTACCTGATTCTCCATCAGATTCTTGACTATTTTTATCCATTTTCCAGCTAAAAATATTTAAAGGATATACCTCAACATCATCATCCTTCATCATGACAAAAGGTGCATAAGACCATCACACTATTATCTCAACCCACTCTGCTCTGCACCAAAAATTATTCATTGGCTATTAAATTATTTCAAAAATAATTTGTAATTCACTTTTTTTTTCATACCCCATCTTTATGAAATCCATTTTTGGTAAGACTGGAGGCCATACTCTTACATTGAGAGCTGGTTTACCCTGGACAAGGCAAAGGAATAGTTTAGTATGTGTAGTTCCTGAAATTATCCAAATCCCCTCCCCCTCCCCCCAACAGAGGAATTTGAAAATTCCAAGAGGTAGGAGGAGTCAGAGAAAGAACATGTATGTGTATGAAAATGTATGTGATGCGACACTTGGTATTTGTTAAATTTTGTAAATCATTGCCCATTAACTCCGGGTTAACACCCCATTTCAGTATCATATTATTCACAAAATTTTTGGGGTGCATGTTACTTCATAGCCGCCATGTTGGTTGACGATAACAAAGCATTCCTCATTTGCTTCTCTTGTTGAATCAACCAAGATGGCGGCTATGATTTCATCATTTCCGTTATTTATATCTTAAGGGATCTTGAGTCATATGGGTGCACCCCAAGAATACCAAGGGGGTAAAGTCACATGGATGAACAACTTCAATATAAAAAGAGTTCTCAACCCATGGATCTTTACTGGAACACTTGACACAGCCCCTCCCTATCTGCAGTCCCTAAACATATAAATATTGATAACCTTTTTCAAAATACCTGAATATTTTTTATTAAGTGTATTGACATTCCAAGAGTTTCCAATGGGTTGTGAACCCATCCGTCTAAGGTGCAATAACCACTTCCACTGCCGTCATTTATTTCACCCTGAGCATCTAATACACTTGCCATGGTGCGTGCAGTAAGGGGTGAGGTTATCAGACCACCAGTCTTGCTTGTAGAGCTCGCAGGTAGAGTTGTGTTATTAGGGGTAAACTTAGTGGGGTATGATAAGAGTGCTTGATGGGTAGGTGGCCAATTCTGGAAGAAATAATAGAAAAATTGCACCAGTTGGATGAACAAATCATACTACTCATTACTGTATAGATCTAGATATATCCATACCTCCTCCATGAAGTGTGGCATGAGAGGGGCTTGAATTTGCAAGGGATGGGAAGGAAGGGTATAAAACATAAATTATATAACAGTACTTCATTGGGCAAAAATTTACCCCGACCCCACCCCTGCCACATTACTTACAGGGGAGGTAACAGGGAAGGTTATTCATTTTATTACTGCCAAAGGTATCAATTTTAAAACATCCGTAATTTTGAAGCAAAGAAGTTGGCCACTTTACAGCCCCTGAAATAATTTACTCTTCCCTTTGAATGTAAGATGCTTATACATGTACAATCAAACGACATTATTGGTCATTTACGTCCTTAAATGGATGTGGTATCAGGGCTTAAAATAACGGCTCGCCAGTCACTGGTCATGATGCAGGCCAAATTAGTTTTAGTTCAGTCACATCTAATTCCTAGCTCAACATTACTCGTGATCAAAATGACCAGCAAGTCAAAGATTTGGCCAGACAAGTTTCAATTCTGGGCAGACATTGTCCGATGTACAAACATTATTTTAAGCCCTAGACATATACTTGTATATACTAACGATATAAACAAATTGCTTACTTTGAATGTAGCAGCAATATATGCCATCTTCTTTCTGAATGGACCAGTAATCCAATATCTGAAATCAATCAACTCCATTTTAATGTTTCCTTGAAAATGCAGTTGAGAGAGAATGACAAATGGTTTTGTATTGAGACTAAGAACTAGAGTATCTTAAATGATGGTGAAAAATACATAGCCAAGATTGATGCACTGTATTTTGCTTGTTGCATCAGCCTGTACTTTAAGCATTTCACTTTAACTGTGGCATTTTCGTTGTGCTATGTTTTTCAGTTATGACACTTCAGTAAGGATGAAGCATAAAAAGGAGAATAAGTTGACAGAAATATTTTGTTTCCCAAATAATACAATGATGTATTGCTTTTCATGATGTCTTACTTGTCGTAGCTTTCAGCAGCATCCTGGAATGCTCCCCACTGTAATCCACTTAATGCATAGGTAGGTCTTCCTCCCTCTCCCTGGAACAAGAGAATTGCAAAAGCTGGTTTAGGATATTGTCATATCAAACATGTCCGTCATTGTTTTATCTCCTCTCCCCTCTCCCCTCCCCGCAGTGGGTAGGGCCATTAATTGTGTGTGTGTGTTGGAGGGGAGGGGGTAGGGGGGAGGGGGGTACACAGATCTAGAGGGTAGACAATACCTAGTTTGACAAATAAAGTCAATTAATGTCACTTATACCTTAATTTCCATAACATCAATAGAATGAGTGTTGCCTTTGACTATAGCCATAGCAGCTTGACCAATCTCCCTACGACACAAGACAGCAAAGCAGTTAATAGGGGTTTCCTGTGTTTATACATAATCAGTAGAACCAACAAAATTTATTCTCAAGGTACATAATAATGGACCCATAAAAATATACTATATTTCAAATGATTTTCTATAAAGAAAGCTAAACAACGTACTTTGCTTGGGCTAGTTCACTGTTGCCAAAGATCTTTTTATAAAATGTGTTTTTGGTACCAATTGGGATTACCCCAAATGGAATTTTGGAAAGCTGTTCCTTGAAATAAATAAATGTCAAAAAATTAATAATACAATCCAATTAATTAAGAATTAAATTAATTTTATAAATACATAAATCAAATTTTTCTTTCAATAAATGTATACCTGATCTGGTCTTCTCAGTAATCCTGTGACTACCTTTAAAGAAAAATAATAAAGCAAACAGCTATATGGTGGTATATTAAGAGTTATAAAGTGCAATATGACAAAATATTTTGTGTGCTGGCTTGCCTGTGGTCTAATTTCCACAGGGTACCCAATTATAACATTTTTCTCATTACTCACTTCAAGCAATGTACCATCTCCTCCTGCAACGATAATCCCATCAATACTTGGATCCAAATACTGCATCAGTGTCTTGATTTGACCTTCATAATCAGTCTAAGATAATGACGGTGATAAGACAGAGAATAGCGTATGAAATCTATAAGGACAATATATCCATAGAAAATAAGATAAGCTATAGGAATTGGGAGGAGGTGTTCTGTTACCTTGATGATCGTTACGTCTAATCCAGCAAGATGAAAGAGTGGCTCTGCATTTCTCTGAAAAAGCTTTTCTGCCTCACTGTGCAAGAAGATTCAAAGGGTAAATCTGATATATAATATTATATATCTAAAGGGCAGACTCTGAAAAATATCCAAGCCTATAGCATAAAGGAAAACTCGAATATAATGCAGGTGATGTGTCTAGTGTAGTTATTATTTACTGCCATTGTCATTGTTGCTAATGATGTTGATGACCTGATGATGATGATATCGATACATGATGATGATGATATCGATACATGATGATGATGATGACTATGAAAATGATACATGATGATAATACATGATAATGATATATGATGATGATAC